TCTGGTTCAAGACTCTTGTTCCAGTGGAAGATGGTTCTGTCCTCTACATGGGAGATGATCACTTCGCTCCCGTTGAAGGCAAAGGAAATGTGGTGCTAGAATTCAGTTCTGGAAAGACTATTACTTTGTTTAATGTATTGTATGTTCCTAAATTACGTAAGAATTTAATTTCTGGTCCTGTATTAAACAAGCTTGGATACAAGCAAGTGTGTGAATCCGATAAATATGTATTATCGAAGTCTGGTGTGTTTGTAGGATTTGGATATTATAATAATGGTATGTTTATGATGAATTTGAATGGAGTTCCTAATGAATCTGGTTCTGTTTTTATGTCCTCGTCAAATGTTATTAATTTTTCGTTATGGCATGCTCGTCTAGGACATGTACACTATAAAAGAATGCATGAAATGTCTAAAAATGATTTAATTCCTAATTTTAATGAAAATGTAGAAAAGTGTAAAACTTGTATGTTAACAAAGATCACTAGGCAACCTTTTAAAGGTATAACAAGGAAATCTATCATTCTTGAATTGGTACATAGTGATTTATGTGATTTGCATGCTACTCATTCGTTAGGGCATAAAAAGTATTTCATCACCTTCATAAATGATGCGTCTAAATTCTGCTATGTTTATTTGTTGCACGCTAAGGATGAAGCCTTAGATAAATTTAGAATCTATAAAACTGAAGTTGAAGTGCAACAGAATGTACTGATTAAAACATTACGTACAGACAGAGGTGGTGAATATTATGATCCTGTGTTTTTCCAGTCCGTAGGAATCATTCATGAAACTACGACACCTTATACACCTCAACAAAATGGTGTGGCTGAAAGGAAAAATAGAGTTCTTAAGGAAATGGTGAACGCCATGTTATCCTACTCTGGTCTGAGTGAAGGGTTTTGGGGAGAAGCTATGTTAACGGCTTGCTATTTGTTAAATAGGGTTCCTAATAAAAGGAACAAGACTACCCCATATGAACTTTGGTATAAGAGACGACCCAACTTAACATTTCTACGTGTTTGGGGTTGTAGGGCCGTGGTTAGACTCCCGGACCCAAAAAGGAAAACTTTGGGTGAAAAGGGTATAGCTTGCATCTTTGTTGGATATGCTGAGCACTCCAAGGCCTATAGGTTTTATGTTATAGAGCCTAATGACTCGATTTCTATTAACACAATAATAGAATCAAGAGATGCCATATTTGATGAGAATTGTTTCTCTTCTATACCTAGACCAAAGATTTCTATACCTAATTCAGATGAATCTCTAAGGGATGATCATTCAAATGATGTGCCAAGTGAGACACTTGAACCTCGTAGGAGCAAAAGAGCTAGAAAATCTAGAACTTATGGATCTGATTTTCAACTATATTTGGTTGAGGGATCAAAGGATCAGATTGATACTCAATACTATTATTGCTATAGTATAAAGGAGGATCCAAGAACATATGATGAAGCTGTGAAGTCTCGAGACTCTGTTTTTTGGAAAGAAGCAATTGATGAAGAGATTGGTTCTATCATGGAAAATAATACTTGGGTATTGTCTGATTTACCACCAGGTTGCAAACCATTGGGCTGCAAATGGATCTTCAAAAGGAAGATGAAAGTCGATGGTACAATTGACAAGTTTAAAGCTAGATTAGTTATCCAAGGCTTCAGACAAAAGGAAGGGATCGATTATTTCGATACCTATGCTCCAGTTGCTCGTATCACTACTATTAGACTGTTGATTGCCTTGGCGGCTATTCATAATTTAGTGATTCATCAAATGGATGTCAAAACAGCATTTCTAAATGGTGATTTGGAAGAAGAAGTGTATATGAAGCAACCTGGAGGATTTGTTATGCCTGGTAATGAGCATAAAGTGTGTAAGCTAGTTAAGTCATTGTATGGGCTGAAACAAGCTCCGAAGCAGTGGCATCAAAAGTTTGATGAGGTTGTTTTGTCTAATGGTTTCATTCTAAACCAAGCTGACAAATGTGTATATAGCAAATTTGATACATCCGGTAAAGGAGTTTTCATTTGTCTATATGTTGATGACATGTTGATCTTTGGCACCGACCAAAATCAAATTGATAAAACAAAGAATTTTCTGTCATCAAAATTCTCCATGAAGGATATGGGAGAAGCGGACGTTATTCTTGGTATTAAGATTAAACGGGAGAATAAAGGGATTGTAATTACTCAATCCCATTACATTGAGAAAATACTCAAGAAGTTCAATTGTGAAAGTTGTTCTCCAGTAAGTACTCCCATGGATCCGGGAGAAAAACTCATGCCAAATACAGGTAAACCTGTGGATCAACTCGAATACTCAAGAGCTATAGGCTCTTTGATGTATGCTATGATTAGCACTAGACCGGATATTGCTTATGCGGTTGGAAAGTTGAGTAGATTTACTAGTAATCCTAGTAGACACCATTGGCATGCAATAACTAGGGTATTCAAGTACTTGAAGGGTACTATGAATTATGGATTGTCGTATATGGGATTTCCTTCGGTGTTAGAAGGTTACTCAGATGCTAGTTGGATAAACAATGCTGAAGATTCATCCTCAACAAGTGGATGGGTGTTCTTGCTTGGGGGAGGTGCCATTTCGTGGGCTTTCAAGAAGCAAACATGTATAACCAGTTCCACAATGGAATCTGAGTTTGTGGCATTAGCTGCTGCTGGTAAAGAAGCGGAATGGCTAAGGAACTTGGTATATGAGATTCCGATATGGCCTAAACCAATATCACCAATATCTATTTGTTGTGACAGTACTGCCACATTGGCTAAGGCTTATAGTCAAATATACAATGGGAAGTCTAGACATTTGGGTGTTAGACATAGTATGATTAGGGAATTAATCATGAATGGGGTGATATCTATTGATTTTGTTCGGTCGCAACAAAACTTAGCTGACCACTTGACGAAGGGGTTAGCTAGAGACTTAGTGAAGAAGTCGGTAATTGGGATGGGATTAAAGTCCATTTAAATCCGTTAGCTATGGTATACCCAATTCCCTTCTAATACAACGTTAGAAGCAAAATTCAATGTGGAAAGATCATAGTTAGGGATTGGAGCACTCGTGTTTATCTTCCCAAGGTATGTGCTCAGACCTGCAAGTAATGACTAGGTTGAAGTATATCTTCTTAATGGTTCTCTTTGAAAAATTGCAAATGCAGGTGCAAGATTAAAGGGATCACCTATGTGAGCATGAAGTTTTGCCGCTTCAGGAAGCTTGGACTTGGCTTTCTATATGCTTATTAATGGATAAGGACACATGGCTTGTAAAAGTGTCAAGAATGAATAGTAGAGTATTGTAAGAAACATATGTGTACTGTATCTTCAGATGTTCAAATGGATTGACGGGTTCAATCTTTATGACACCCCGATTTTCGAGTATTTGGAATGTGTATTTGTACTAAGATGAAAATTCAATCGTAAGACATTTTCGTTTATGCATGTGTTTAATCGTTTTACCTGTAGATTGTACCCTTGTATATAACTATATATACTGAGTTAATCAAGGATTACACTAAAATGGGGGGGATTTGTTGGCGATTTTGTATCACCAATGTATTTTAGTAGTAATGTGATTTCTAAAGGCCGATACAATTATGCGTTAAGTTCGGAGACGAGTTAGGGAAGTGCGGAGTGCACGCTCGTCGAGCCAATACATAATTGAATACGAATAATTGAAACGGGGTTCCAAGGGGCGAAGCCCCTGGCGGGGTGCGGGGTGCGGGGCAGCGCCCCGCGGGGTCCAAGGGGCGGAAGCCCCTGGCTGTCAGCGGGCGGGGTGCGGGGCAGCGCCCCGTGCAAAAATTTTGAATCCTTTCCCCAACGGACATAACTGTTCCCCAACGGACATAATTGTTTCCCAACGGACATATTCGTTTCGAACAAATGTGTCTCTTCGTTTCAATTACCGTTCTCCTATATAAGAAGTCGTTCGGCCTCGGTCTCGCATACAGAAAAACGCATCCTTCTCTCTATAATTACAATTCGTTTCTTTTGTCAGAAACATAATTTCTTCGAGAATTATCCCCACAAAGATTTCGTGAACCCAGACAAGAATAGGGTCGAAATACTTTGTTCGGAAAGTGTACGAACACGATTCATCGAAGTTATCCAGGATTATCACACCCTAAATTTCTAACAAGTAATAGTAATGCAAATTTGAAAGATTTGTTTTGATCAATGTATTTTATTTCATTCATAAAGATTTAACAAATAACAAATCTAGATTCCACACGCAAATAAAATTCCAAAAAATCAAACCAAATGAAAAATAAAGAGAGTAGAGGAATAACACATGTGTTTGCCGATGCAATTTTTCCCAAAAAGACACATACATATGTGAGAGATAAAGTCTCTGATGTACTTAAGATGAACAATCTTTAATTTCTCTTTTTTCCCTCTCAATTCAAAATGAATTTCACTATAAAATTCAATATATAAATATTGAATTCTATCCGTAATGATTTCTAACTATCAAAGTTGTTTACTATGTGTTTCTCAAACCTAGAACTCTCGGACTCCAAAAACCATCGTTCTCACTATTTTTACCAGTTTCAAAGTGACTTTACAAAACTACTTTTAAAATAAAGATAGAAAAAACAACATAATTTAAATCAATTAATGTTAAATATTAAAAAAAAATCTTTTTTTACAACATCATTTAAATCACCCTATAAATATGCTTTGAATTCATCTCTTCCCAAAGAAACAAAAATGATTTTTGATAACATGATTCACATTACCCTTTAAAAGCATACTCATATCAAATACCAACTATAAATTATTTTAAGTCATGATTGAAACTATTAAGAAAAGAAAATAGTAAAACTTTACCAATTATTAAGCATCAAATTCATCATTCACTAAAATTTTCAACCCAGAGTGAGTTCATCATGGAAATCACATATACAAAACTACATGCTCACAATGGTTGCAAATTTAGCAGCCTCAAATAAATAAAAATTACTATAAAAAAATTTGTATATCCCATATGAGGCTATGACTTAGCAGAAGAGGTGAGAAGAGACGCAGGACTATGTCTCCTCTCAAGTATTCCTTCCATAATAATTTTCTTCTTATAAAGAAGAGAATCAAAATAACTTTCTCTATATAATAAAACATCCTCTTTGCATTTCCTTCTCTGTCTAGAAGGCACAATATAGAACCAAATTGAAGTGCATAATATAGCAAAAACTTTACCCCAAAAAATCAAAACGAATAGACTAAAAATCCAAAGAATACATAACGCTATGTTTCTTTTCCTCTTATCTTCAACAATATTTTTCTTTGATACCCCATTAGTTCCATTCGATATGATATTAGCTTCATGAGAAGGAGTGTTCGACAAGTTATCAGAGTTTGATGAAGTGGTTGAATGTTGAGATGGTGAAGATGAGAATATTGCATATGAATTAGTAACATCCGAGGAAGTTTCTGAAGTGGTTCTTCGTGTAGGTTTATGTTTATTCATGATGTTGGAATTCAATTGTTGGGGAGTTCGAAGAGCGCTCAAAGTTGTGTCTGTGTTTGATTTCGACATGGATTTCTTTTTTGTTTTCCTTCTACTATGCATCCTTTTCATCTATCATAAAATCATAATAATTTGATTAAATTCTGCATATTAAAAAATTGAATTAATATATACAATTTTATCAACAAAAAAAAAAAACTAAACTACCAATGATGTTTCTTTGAGCGCCATCTTGAAGGAATGCCATGCATCTCGTCCTCCATTTCGTCGGCGATTTCCGCATTCTCCCATTGCCGCCGTTGAAATCAATACGACACCGTCCACATCCGCAGCAGCAAGATACGCGAGAACAGGATCGGTGATGATGGTGGTGTTGCGGTTTCTTCTTCTCCTCAGAGGTTTGAAATTATCTTCTTCATCAATAACGGTTTTAAAACACATAAATAACGATCTTCTATATTTACCTTTATTCATATTCATCGACTCCATGTTACGTAACATGAATGAACAAAGAATAATATATATTTTTGAATTTTCACTAAGAATAATCAAAATCAACAAAAGAGGGTTTGGGATTTGAATTTTCGCTGTAAGATGATGTTTGTTTGTTAGAATTGTTGTCTGGAAATTAACCCTAAAAAAAGTGATGAATCATGCTTGGAAGTTAAAAACGGTAATTCCAGTGATGCGTCCCTTGAAACTTGGATTTCTAAACCTGTGAATTGTGTTGAATTGAGTGGTTGTGCCTATCTGTTTTTTTTTGTTTTTTTATTTTATCTCTACTTTTTTCAAACGGTTAATATATTTTTTTTTTCTTAAGTATGTTTAATTTTTAAGATTTTTATTGTATTTTAATAAATATGTTTGATTTTTTTAATATTTTTATGTAAATATTTATTTAATTTAAGAGTTTGATCTAATCATAAAAATGAGAGTTGAAATTCAAAAAGTATTTATGTTTGAAGTTCAATATTCTCGTTGAAAGAAAATAATATAATATATTTGTATTTGTAAGTGTCTTATGAGGTATAATTTATTGTAGGATGAACTGAAACATCATCCGTTCACTTTAAAAAAAAAATTAAAAAATGAAATATATTTTAATTAAGCATCAAAATTTGATATATAATCATTTTTTAAAAATAAATATTATTTATGATCAAACGTGTCCAAATGTCAAAAATCACTTACAATATAATTTGAAAATTAATCATCTATTACTTACAATATTTGGTATACAATTATTTAAACTATTTTAAAGCATTTGAGATTTAGATGTAGTAGTTTTAATAAACTTAGTCCTTAAAAGATAATAATATTTCTTTTATTATTTTATTGTGTTATTTAAATATTTAATTGCTCAAAAATTGTATGAAATTAATAAATAAGTAAAATAAAGACATACATATTTCAATGTCAAATTGGAAATCGATGATGTTGAGGAAAGAGTTTTTCCTGATGTGTCGATACACATTTTTGATGCAGTGAAGTTGTGTGAACATGCAATATTAGCATTCTATGTTAAAATTAGTGAGGTCAACAGATGTAGAGAAGTGAAAAAGAACGAATAATACATATTGCGACGTGTGAAGAAGCTTATATATGAAGGGGTGGTTAAAAACTCTCTCACTTTCCCTTGCGTGAGATGCATGTGACCGTTTGATTAACTCTGGTGATTGATGATGGGCAAGCGAATCAAATCTAATGTATAACTCGGAGTCTCTGACGGTTGATGATAGGCAAACGAGACAAATCTCTAATGTATGATTTTCTAGATAAATTAAGTAGAAGAGAGACTACATTGTCGAATTTCTTGCATATTAGTACATATATATATATATATATATATATATATATATATATATATATATATATATATATATATCACCGTTTAAATAAAGAACAACATTGTATGACATTACTTCGTAAAATATTGATACATAGTACATCACATGAAATCCTATTTTGCACAACAATTGTTGTTATAAAATATGATAAGTTTGGTCATAATAAACCCTAGAAGGAACAATCAAGTACTATATATTATCTTCTCATTAAGAGCTACACATAGTCGGTCCCAAGCCCAGATAAAAGGAGATGTTGTGTTAGACTTTAGACCGTTAATATAAAACTTTTTCAAATCTCTATGACATAGATCAACTACGAAATAATGTGAATGCTACATTGTTATCTGTAAGCAACACGTTGTATGACTCGAGTACAATGTCAAAAGAGCAAGGACCGCTGCATCGCGGCCCAAATTTAGTGAAAAATAATCAAGAGTTCTCATATTTTTATGAACGGGTGTGGATAAAGATGTTAGTTCATGAGAGGAGGATCCACTTTGACGCATTTATTTGATTTTTCAAATTTTTAATCGCGCGTTCTCGTTTTAGTTGTTATTAGATTTGTCGTTCTTTCCATTTAAATTTTATTTTTATAATCATAACAATTAAAATAAACAATATACTAATAGTAATAATCAAAATAACAAAATAAGAGAGTAGGTTTCTAATCCATGATTATACCATCGATTTTCATCTTTCATTCAAAACCAAAAAAATTTAAAAAAAAGGGAAAAGGCACAAGGTTATAAAAGAGGGGAAATATCTTCTCATACCCATCTCTCTCTCTCTCTCTCACACACACACACACACACACACACACACTACCACCTTCAACATGACAATTACACTGCCAGTTTCTACTATCTGCATTCACTCCACTACACTCCCCATTCCACTATGTTGCCAACATATACATGAGCCAAATTTGAATCCTAAAAATTCCTAATAATTACACTATAAGATCAACAGTAAGAGATGAGAGAAAGGTAGCAGCAACAGTAGAAAAAAAAGGGTAAAGTATACACTGATTTTTACAGAAAACTCGTCTTTTTTCTTTCTCAACACAAACCTCCATTCAACTTCCACCTTCTTCTTCAATACACAAGCACACCTCCATTTTTTAAAATCACTATTCAACATAAACACCCATAAACAACATCGACATCCATAAAAACTTCAACAACAACCACAAATCTATAAAATGGAAGAAGATTAACAACAAACAACATTTCAACAATAACCACAAATCTGCTAAATAAAAAAACAAAAAAATAGAGCACGAAATAGTGAAATTGTGCTTCCCTCCTCCACCGTGACCTTCACCTTTTCTTCCACCAAATGTGTGTCCTCCTTCCTCTTTGAAAACACATAAAGCCACCAAATCAAGAACACCCACAATCATTAACGATTTTCCATTTTTGTTCGGTAACCCCATATTTCTTTTCCTTTCGTGAATCACCTTGCTTTTTTCATTATTATTTCACCATGATTGTTCTATTTATGAGTTTGAGGGTTGTGTGTAGATTTTAATTGGATCTATTGTTTTTTATGATTTACATAAGAATGAGAAAGGAAAGACTTGTGGTTGTTTTGGATCTATGAGCTTGCGGGTAATAAAGATTAACATCTAGAATTTTGATGATGACAACGCATGATAATAGCCTTCAACATTGATGATAACCAAAGGATCTTATGAGAGAACTCGAGATCAAGTGCTTGTGTAATCAGATACTATCTAGAAAAGTCTTGAAGCTACTCTAGTGAAAGGTGTGAAAGCTCTATAAGTCATGCTTGTCTGTCTGTCTAAGTGAATGGGGTATTGTAAAAGTAAGTTAGTAGTTTAAGAGTACTAAGACAACTCACACTTCAAATTATTTTTCTATCTTGACAATTATTTTCCAAGCCATAACCAAGTGATTAAACAGTTATCCAAACAATTTCTTAACCATATAATCGATTAGAATGATGTGCCAATCGATTGGCGAAACTTTTTGATTTATCTAATAGATTAGGACACTTGTGTTGGAACAAAATTGGTTTGTAACATATCCCTAAAGTTTTGATGATAATAAAATATTTAAATAATAACTAGGTATACTAACATATGTTCAAGTATGCAGGACCATAGACTAAGATTTGTGATATAAATTAAGTTATTGCACTAAAATTGAACATTTAAGAGAAGCTTGAAGATCCCAGAATCTGAAGGATCAGAACTTCAACATCATACTCTCAAGACTCAAACTCTGAAGGAAATCAACTTCTAAAGACCAAACTCTGAATAAAGTCAACCTCTGAAGATCTAGTGTGTAAAGACTCATACTCTAAAGCTAGTGAACAAAATGATCAAGAAGACTCTAAAGAATCACTATCAGACTTAGAGGTCATTTTGTCTTCTTTTAATCACGTGCAGAACAAAAAAAAACCTGCACAAACGAGAGGGATAGAACACATAATTCCTTTTAAAGCAAAGAAAACTTAAATGTATTTTACAAGCCATTAAACATATCAAGTAACATCCCAATGTCTCTGATCAAAGCTTCTCTAAAACTCACTTGTTCAAGAAATTTTCTTCAAAGTCTCTTTCTTGTCTCTCTATATAAGGAGCTGAAGACTTGAAGAAAAATAACGAACCTTTGACATTTAAAAGAGTTGTTATTATGTCAAATCAAAAGCACAAGTTTAACTTAGAATTTCTTAACACTTGTATATCTTAAAAATTCTTAAGTCTTAAGAGTCTTTCTTTGAATTATTTTATTTACACTTATGATTGTATATCAAGTTTAATACTCAAACAATCTCTTATATGTAAGTTAGATTGTTATAAGTATCTTGCTTGTATGCTTGAGCATTTGAATCTCTTGCTTGTGTACTTGAGCATTATAAGTCTCTTAATTGTGTGATTGAGCATTGGAAGTCTATTTCTTGTGTGCTTGAGAATTTTTAATCACTTGTGATTATAGTGAAATCCCTTAGAAGTGCAAGGGGGTTGAGCTACTCCAGTGTTGTGGTTGAAACCAGGATAAATTGCTCGTGTCTCTTTTTCCTTAACTATTTAACTCTGAACTTGTTTTATCTGCGACATATAATAACCTTTGTGTCAAATTTTAAACCCTGTGTTAAAAATATAATAAGAGTGTTAAGAAAAAGAAAGAAAAAACTAACACAATCTAACCCCCCCCCCCCTCTTGTGTTTTTCTCGCCATCAGTTAGCATCATAGCAAGGTTTATGCTCTAAACATTTAACAGTGGTACAAAAAAATCCTAAGAGAAAAACATGTCGGGTGGTGATGAATATGATACTAGTACTAATAACAATGTTGTTAACTTTGATTATAGAACCTCTAAGAAAAACAACTACACTTCTAGACCTATAACCTTTAATGGAGATTCAACAGATTTTGAATGGTGGAAAATAAAAATATACACCCACATCATAAGTATTGATGATGAGTTGTAGGACATTCTTGAAGATGACATTACTATTCCAGTTAATGGAGTAGGAATGGTTATTGGTATAAAAATTCCTACAAACTTGATCAAAAGAAGATATATAAAATACATCACAAAGTGCGTGGCATTCTATTAGATGTTTTACCTTACTCTGAGTACATCAAGATTATTGAC